CCCCAAAACCCCAAAACCCCAAAACCCCATTTATTATTTCATGCATTGAAATCTTATTTCTCAAGTCTTATCTAAGAAGGGGCATGGGAGAACAAAGCATCACTATATTCTGAGATATCATTCTTTTTTCTATGATGATGTCTATCAACCTGCATATTCTGGAAGGGAGTCCAACCATGCTCTTCTTTGGTAGTTGAAGAAGGGATCCCTGGCCTCAGGTTACTCAACTGAGCGTACAAGTCTTGGGTATTGATCTTTCCCTTGGACAACAACTTTGGAAACTATTAGAATATTATTAATGATGAGTCCAGGCTTACCTTCATTAATGCTCGAGTATTATTAAACTGAGACTGATCAATGAAACTAGTTGATCCAGTCAACTCAGAGAAATTACTAGCTAAATGATTCTGCTTATGACTCATAGACGGTTTAAAACTGTACCCGTTAAAGGTACTCTCAGCGGCTGCGATGAGACTAGACTTTGGCTGAATTCCAGAAATATTATTTCCTAGATGTTTAGCTTTAATAATCTCTTTCTGTATTTTGTCATCTGTGTCACCATTTCTCAATCCAGCATCACTTCTTGTTTCGCTGCTAGCTCTCTTCCTGATTGCTTCGTAAGACTGCTTTGTTTGAGGTACGATTCCTTTAGTTACAAACAAATCAAACATGCATTTAGCACAGAGTAGGTTATTTTTATCAAAATCGATGCCAGCTTTAAGCACATCATGTCCGAATTCAGAGATCTTATCAAGCTTATCTGCACTACCAAGTGGTTGCTGGCTGGTAGAATCTTTACTTTGCTTATAATCTACAATCTGGGAGTTAAAAACCGACTCTTCAATAGTAAGCTCATTTTCACAGATATGGCATTTTTGGAACTCCTCCTCTTTCTGTTCTTGCTGAATTTCTTCTTGTTCATTAACTTTTTCAAGGTGTTCTTGGTCTTTCTTATCAGCCAAGCTATGTGTTCTGCGACTGAATTTGGACATCTTAGATCTCATGCTCATCGCGTCTGAGTAAATACTGCCTCCGCCACCTTTCGTAATAATTTTATTTGCCTTTATCAAGTTGTCTGAGGGACTCTTTAGTCAAGTTACTCCTGTACCGACTTGACTTAGTCACAGAGGTCAGCACAGACTTAATGGACTTCTGATCAGAGTAATCTATCTCACTAACGATGTCTCTCTGGGCACCTTCATCTTTGGGATTAAGCATCTGCTCTTTCAAGTTCTGGTTTTGAGTGTTCTTTAGAAGCTTCTGGTAGTTCAGGTCATACTATATGGTACTCTTAGTGACTGAAGTTGTTAATTTTGTCAAAGCTAAACTCCTAGTGCATGGTAGGAGTCTACATTATTTTACAAATATTCATTTAGTTATATTAACGATATGGAAAACACTTTTATCAAGACTGTGTTGGAGCAATTTAAGATTTTGGAAGAAAACCAATTGGAATTTGGAGCTCATATAGTCGATGATTACACTAAGCAACTAGGTGCTCCTTAAGGACTAAAATACGTAATAAGTTATTAGAAATCTTACACTATCAGCAACAGATCTGTGGGAGCTTTTGTGACTTCCCTTGCTATGAGTTCCTCCAAATAGTAGCTCTCTTGCTATGGAACTATGTACTTTGTGCTTCTTCTGGAAATGAGGGGTATAGAAATATTTCGCCTTCTCATGAGAAATTGCTGGTGACAGTGGCTTACTATTTCTGACCTGATAAATCTGGGAGTTTGAAGTCTAAAATAAATCGTAAGCTCTATTATGAATTTTGGGAACCTCAAACTGCAAAAATAAAGTAATGCTAAGTTTATACATATTTTTTACAATTTCAGTATTAAAGTGGATAATAGAATTAAAAAAACTTACCATTAGATCCATATTTGTTCTGACCAAGGATCTGGAAGGATACTTGCTTTGGATCACTACTTTTCTTCATTTTATTTATTCAATATAATTATTTTCCCTTGGGGTTTTGGGGTTTTGGGGTTTTGGGGTTTTGGGG